TCCATAGTGATACTGCCTCGGAAACCCAAGGAGGGGTTGCTATGAGTTGGGGCCAACTCAACAGCACACAACAATAACAACAGGGGTTGGTTCAATCATTTCCAAGTGCAGACAAATTTACATAATATTAATGGGCAAGCAGGAGTTGAATGTATGTTGGATGTTCAATAAATCAAATGTTCGAAACCCAGGGACTGACCGTACTGGATTGTTATTCTAAGACAGTAGCTCCCAAACTAACTGGAAATCTTTAAAAATTTCCTGAGAAGCTTTGAAAAAATATGCCTATCTGGGCCTCATTCTTAAGGTTGGCTTCTGTAAGTGTGGCCAAGGCCTGGAAATATGCATTATTAACACATACCATGGGCCACATGCAGCCTGATGTGGGAACCCTGGTCTAAGGAGCCCCACTGTAGTCTGGCCCTGGGGCTGACCTTCCTCTACCTGCAGCTCGCAGGATTCCCTGTGTCGGAGATACCCACCAAGCCACAATATGGCATGTGGCAGTGCCACAAGCTCTTGCTGGGTAGCGATGTTGAGTGTCTGTGGACACTGCCTTAGCTTGGGTGAATTCTTGATTCAAGCATTTCTTCTGGAAATGTGATCTGGGACACAGAAGCCAAGGCAGTAACCATGGAAGGTGAGGAAGCTGTGTGGACTTAGAGAACCAAGATGGCCCTTTGGGGAGGGCCAAAATGAGGCTCTGTCTTGGAAGAAGGGCAGCCGGAATGCTCCTTAGAAGCAAGGATAGTGAGACTTTGTCTCACATACTTTGGGTATGTTATCAGGATGGCCTAGTCCCTGGAGAAGGACATCATGATTGGTAGAGGATCCGTGAAAAAGAGGAAGACCTCCAAGGAGATGGGCTGACACAGTAGCAGCAACAATGGGCTCAAACATAGCAATGGTTGTGAGTAGGGCACAGAACTGGTCAGTGTTTTGTTCTGTACATAGGATGGTCACTAGAAGTCAGAACTGACTCAACAGCACTTAACAGCTACGTGATAGGGCTGGACGGAAGCACATAAACAAGCAGAGATGCTGGTCCGTAGGGACAAAGGAATGAACTAGACAAGGAGCTAAGAGTCCATATGTCCTCAGAAACACATGGAAAGACTCACATGCATGAACTGAGGTGTATAAGGTACAGACGTGCTAGTACACACGTGTGTTCACGGGGACCACAGGCTACTGTCTGGGTTGGTGGAGGGGACTCAGCCAGTGCCATGAGACTTTATCCTTTTAGCAGGTGTCAGGAGTTTGGGTTTCCCAGAAGCAGTCTGTGAGGCTTGGGTGCAGGTAGCTATTTGGGAGGTGATTCCACGAAGCACAAGTAAAAAAATGGGGAAGTGAGGCAGGGTAGGGAGAAGAACCAATGAAAAGTGCCATTAATGAGCCACTTACTGCTGTGGGCAATTGGGCTAGGTCCTGAACCCTCTGGGAAACCCTATGAAACTAGCCTCAGATCATTCTACCAGAAGATGGCACCTGGGGCATTTACTCCTCAAGTTACCAGCTTATGCAAAACCACAGCTGCAGGTGAACTCAAGTGGGCCAAGGGGATGGAGGAGGAACATCTGCTACAAGGCATTCCTACAGGCTTCCAAGTAATGGACAGTGCTATTCTCTGGTAGCATAGTGCCTAAAGCACTTGACTGCTAACCAGGAGGGTGGCGGTTCAAACCCACCAGCCACTCCTCGGAAGGAAGGTTGGGCAATCTACTTCCGTAGTGATACCGCCTCAGAAACCCAAGGAGGGGTCGCTCACACAAGGTATCGTCCCAGGCCCAGCCCAGAGATGAGTAGACAATGTCCCACAAAGAAAGTCAGTGGGACTGCGACAGGAAACCCAACCTTATCTTCTACATCTCTGCCCCAGAACTTACCTGAAGGTTAAGCGCAATGCTGACCACAAGGTGCCCAAAAATCGCCAACAGGGCGCCAATCAAGTTTTCCTATAATGAAATTTCATAACAGCAGGCATGAGTTTTGCCTAACCGAAGGGGTCGCAGGACATATTTGAGACTCAACTATTTACTCTCCCAAAACAAAACCAGAAAAGCAGTATCCATCTCAAAGCCACCCACATACCTTCTATTGGAATTTTATATCCAAGGTTAATCTGGCTGCCTTGCTGGTTTATAAAACATGCCTCAAGATGGAAACTTCCAGAAGCACTATCCTTTCACTGCCTGGCCACAGTGACCTGATGAGATTAACCCGTTCCACTATTCTACTTAAGGTGTTGACTTGTCACCATCTTGTGCAAAAAAAGCAACATTCAGTAATCGGAATTTACAAGAGGCAGTGATACCATTAGCTATCTTATCCACAGATTCTTCATGTTCCCAGAAGCATCTCCATGAGACTTCTTCAACTGGCTAAGTTGCTCACTGTCATTGTTGTTAGGTGCCGTTGAGTCATCTCTGACTGATCGCAACCCTGTGTACAACAGAACGAAACACTGCCTGGTCCTGCTCCAGCCTCACAATCCTTGCTGTGCTTGAGCCCATCATCACAGCCGCCTTGTTGATCCATCTTGTTGAGGGTCTTCCCCTTCTTTGCAGACCCTCTACTTTACCAAACATGATATCCTTCTCTGGTCCTTTCTGACAACATGACCAAAGTAAGTGACAGGCAGTCGGGCCATTCTCACTTCCTAGGAGCATTCTGACTACACTTCTTTCAGGACAGATTTGTTTGTTCTTCTGGCAGTCTATGGTATTCTCAGTATTCTTCACCAACACAATTTAAAGGCATCAACTCTTCTTTGGTCTAAGTTGCTTAGGACCTTTTAAATTATTTAATTGATAAACAACTTAATGTACATCACCTTAAGAATTCCTCAGCATGGTATTTTTTCAATTTATAAAATAATTACAAACACATATTTATTGTGGAATAATCAGGGAATGTAGATAAGTAAATAGGAATCCTGGTGGCACAATGGTTAAAGCGCTTGGCTGCCAACCAAAAGGTCAGCAGTTCAAACCCAGCACCTGCTCCATGGGAGAAAGATGTGGCAGTCTGCTTCCATAAAGATTTATAGCCTTGGAAACTCTATGGGGGCAGTTCCACTCTAGTCTACCATGAATTGGAATTGACTTGACAGCAATGTATGGGGGTATATATAGAAATAAAAAGAATAACAACAATAACAGCAAAGAAAAAAAACACCTCTAATTTTATAACCTAAAAATAATTACTGCAAACATTTTGGTTCTTGTCTAATAAAATTTTTTCTTTTCATAAATTTAGATATTAATGGAAACATTCACTTATTTTATAAAAATGAGATAACAATCTGGTTTACAACCTGTTCTTTTACTTAAAATATCGTGCATGAATTTCTCTGTCAAGCGTGAATTAGATTATTTCATCCTTTTTAATAAATGTAAAATAATCCACCTTATAGATGTGTCATAGTTTACATAATTGGTCCTCTATTATTATATATTTAGGCTGTTTCCTTTTTTAACAATGCTGTGATGATTCATCTTTGTGCATTGGTGTAGATTATTCATTGGGATAAATGTTTAGAATTGGGATTGTTGGGTAAAAGCATATTTGGCTTAGTATTTAAACCATGGAAATGAGATTTGGGAACTTCCAAACTCAGGCCTTATAGGGTCTGTTTTTGCTCAGGGGGGAACCCAGTCACATGTAAAAAAATCCATCTTGATTTTAACAGCTTGCAAGTGGCCATCTAGATGCAATGATGGGTCCCTCCTCATCCAGAGTGAAGAAAAATTAAGAAACCCAAAGATGCATGGAAACAATTAGTCCAAGGGACTGGTACACCATGTGATCCTCAGCCTATATGACTGTGAGACCAGAAGAACTAGATGTTGCCCGGCTCCCACTGTCAACTACTCGGAGGGGGATCTATGTAGGAGATCCTAGATAGAGAGGGAGAACATTGTGGAACAAAACTCAAAATCATCAAAAAAAGAAAAAAAGGGACCAGGTTTGCTGGTCTGATAGAGCCTGGTGAACCCCTGAGACTATGGCCCCTAGCTGCCCCTCAGGTCTGGAATTGAACCCACTCCTGTGGCTTCCAGCCAAACAAAAGACAGGCATATGAGCTGAACATTTACATTAGGTAGATACACTGCTTGAAGAGATCAATCATGGGAGAATAGAAGGGCTGTGTTTGCACAGGGAGACAGTTCAGGGAGGAGGAATGCAGGGGAGGGAAGGACACAGGGAAGAGGTAACTGGAGAGGAAGTGGGGAAGAGAGCTGTTGGATTATGGGAGATTGCAGTCAATGTCATGAGACAAAGTGTAAGTGGACTGCTGTAGGGAAAATGAATTTGCTCTGTAAACTTTCACATGAATCACAATAAAAATTAAAAAAAAAAAAGTATTCATTGTGCCCTAAAAGAAAAAGAAAGAAAGAAAGAAATCTAGCTTATCCCACGAGGAGAGAGAGGGAGGCCACGTGGAGGAGAACCATATAGACATATGAGCAGGACTACCCATACCCACCAACCACGAGCTGAGTAAGTCATCCCAGCTAAGGTAACAGACAGGAGTGAGGTTATGTTGGACTTCTGAGCCCCAGACCTGACTGAATACCTCTATAACATCACAGGGAACAGAGATGAGCCATCCTCACTAAGCCCTGCCCAAATTCTTGACTCACAGAATCAGGAGCAGTAACTTGACTGCTAACCAGAAGGCTGGCAGTTCAAACCCACCAGCCACTCCTCGGAAGGAAGATGGGGCAATCTACTTCCATAGTGATACTGCCTCGGAAACTCAAGGAGGGGTCGCTATGAGTCGAGTCCGACTCAATGGCATGTAACAACAACACAACAAGGTTTCTGATGGTTTGTTATGCAGCAACAGCTAACTAACTGTTACACCACATTAGTGGACCAAGTTTACTTAATGATCCATCAAATTTTGGCCTGAACTCAAGATTTGACTCTTTTCCAGACCTTTATGGATGGCTTTGACCTTCTGCCTGAGTTTGAATCACTTTATTGATTGCTTCCTTTCCTCCCTTTTGTGCCTCAGTTAAGACATTTTAACATCTGGCTGTAAAAGCTCTTTAAGGTCACTCCATGAACTCAGCATATACTTATTTAATTCTTCATTACTTTTTGTAAATAAGATAAAATTTATATAACATTAAATTCATCACTTTAACCTTTTCCAAACAAACAACTCAGTGGTTTTAGTATATTCACAATGTTGTGCAACCATCAAAACTATCTAATTCCAGAACACTTCCATAATCCCCAAAAGAAATCCTATACCTATTAGCAGTCACTCCCAATTCTTCTCTTTCCTCATCCTCTGGCAACCACTAATCTACTTTCCATTTCCATAGATTTGCCTATTTTAGACATTTCATATAAATGGAATCACATAATATGTGGACTTTTGTGTTTGGCTCGTTTCATTTTGCATGTTTTCAAAGTTCATCTATGTTGTACCATGTATCAGCACTTCATTTGTATGGCCAAATAATATTCCATTTTAGATATACCATATTTTGTTTATCCATTCATCAGTTGGTGGACATTTGGGCTGTTTTTTCTTTTTTGGTTACATAAATAATGATGCTATGAATATTCTCATGTAAGTTTTTGTGCTAACATGATTTCAATTCTCTTGAGTATGACTGCTAACGGTTCAAATCCACCCACCACTCCTCAGAAGGAAGGTTGGGCAATCTACTTCCATAGTGATACTGCCTCGGAAACCCAGGGAAGGGCTGCTAGGAATCGGATCTGACGCAACAGCAGTGCATTGCGTTGTTGAGTTGTATACTACTTGGAGTGAAATTGTTAAGTCACATGGTATCTATGGCCAATTTTTTGAGGAACTTACAAATTCTTTTCCATAGCAGCTGTACCAATCTACATTCGTACTAGTAGCAAAGGTTATAATTTCTCAATAGCCTTGCCAACACATTATTCTTATTTTTAAATTTTGTGTTGTTGCGTTTTTTTAAAAAAAAATTTTTAGAAACTCTAGTGGATATGAAAGAAGGCTTGGTGGTACAATGGTTAAATGCTTGGCTGTTAATTACAAAGCGGGCCTAGAAATCTTCATGGGGCAGTTCTAGTCTCATGGGATTGTTCACACGGGGTTGCTATGAGTCTAAACCAGCTTGAGGCATTTAACAAAAACCACAGCAATGGATGTGAAAGAGTCCCTGCGTGGTGCAAACAGTTAAGGTCTGACTACCAGCTAAAAGGTTGGTGGTTCCAACCTACCCACTGGTGCCTTGGAAGACAGGTCTGGATTCTGCTTCTAAAATGTCACAGCCTTAAAAGTCCTATGGAGCACAGTTCTCCTCTGAATACATGGGGTCACCATGAGTTGGGACTAGACGGATGGCAACTAAAAAACAGCAATGTATTAAGTGGTATTTTATCATGGTTTTGATTTGCATTTCCCTAGTGATGTTCCCTAGGACCTCTGGTAGCATAGTGCCAAAGGCACTTGACTGCTAATCAGAAGGCTGGCAGTTCAAACCCACCAGCCACTCCTTGGAAGGAAGGTTGGGCAGTCTACTTCCGTAGTGATACCGCCTCGGAAACCCAAGGAGCGGGGTCGCTATGAATTGGGTCCGACTAGACGGCACATGATAACAACAACAAAGTGATGTGTTCTAATGATGGGGACATATTTTCATGTACTTATTGGCCATTTATGTATCATTTTCTGAGAGATGTTAATTCAAATTCTTTGCCTGTTTTTTTTTTTTTTTTTTTTTAAGGGGGGGGTCACTTCTTCTAAGCAAAATCAACAACCAGGAGCATTGCTCAAAGTTCTGCACACTGGGAGGATTTCCCTTCCCCACTGTCTCTCAGGGATCCCCCAGAAAGGGGCTGAAGTGCTACAGCAACCACTTTCAGGGCCTGCATGTCAAACAGAACCATCTGTAAATGAAACCTGAGTTTTCTCTTCCTTAGTCAACTGATCGTAGGGAACTCC